CAGTATAAGAATGTGATTACTGAATCTATTATTACTTATTTAAGATTATGTGAACCTTGCCAAAAGAAACATAGGAGCATTGAAAAAAGGTATTGTGGTAAAACTATCTGACATAACAAAATGAATTTATGATGCCAGATTGATGTAATTGATATGCAAGCCAATCCAGACAGTGTATCAAAGTTCATATTGGTATATCAGGATTATTTGAAATTTGTTATTCTCCAAACATTAAAATTAAGAAAGATTGAGGAAGTTGCATATAATCTTTTGGATATTTTCACAACTTTTGGCACATCTAATATCCTTCAATCTGACAATGGTAGGGAGTTTTGTAACCGAGTTATCCAATGTTTATGAGGCATGTGGGACGATATAAAGATAGTTCATGGAAGACCGAGGCATGGCCAGTCTCAGGAATCAGTCAAATATGCAAACCAGGATATTGGAAACATATTTTCAACTTGGATGGAAATAGAACTTCAAAATGGTCTGAAAGCTTGAAGTTTGTGCAAGCAATGAAGAATAGAACTTATCATGAAGGGATCAAATGTCCACCATATGAAGATATGTTTGATGTTCCAATAAAAATTGGTATTGTCAGTTCAGTTGTTCCACATAATTTAGTAAACAACATAGACACTGAAGAAAATTGGAAAAAATGTTAAATGCTGGAAATGAAGGAACACAGCTATAAAGTGCAATTAGAGCTGAGAACAGAGCTGCAGGAGGTCAGCAAGTAAATACAGGAGACAAAGTAACAGGAATACAGATTTCAACATTAGTTGAAACTGAAACAGAGTACCCTCCATTATCCATGAGAGCTATGATATGACTGACAACTTCTAACAGTGTCAAAAAAGTTATATTATTTTGAAAGATTGCCAAAGAAAGCCTTGAAATGGAAGTGAAGAAAATGAAAATATACTCTTGTAACAAAATTTCAAAACCTTTAGTTGGAGGGAATGTAAGAATCAATGTACTAGACTTAGGCTGAGCAAAGATTATGCAAAACCAATAATAGCTGTGGTCATAAATATTGAGGATGATGAATTTTATCAACTTGGCACTAAGGTTGGAAAGCTGAAGTCACTATACATTAGGCAGGTCCAGCACTAGAATTTATGCTGCCCAGGGCATGACATGCATTTGATGCCCCTTATCCACCTACATAAAACAAAAAAAAAAAAAAAAATTTGTTTTAAAATGCCATACCTATTAGAAGTGAGAAGAAATTTTTGAATTGTTTTCAAATTTTAACTTTATTTAAATAGTTTAATTTCAGTTAGGTTACTACAATAGTTTCACTGTTTGTTATTTTCAGTCATGAAAATTTATGAAAATTTTCTGCCATTGCCATCTGCCATTCTGGGCAAATGCCCAGTTTGCCCATCCAGTAGTGCCGACCCTGGCACTAGGAACCAATTTACACTGTGCAAAGAAAATTTTATGAGCATCAAAGAAGTAGGAAAAGAAAAAGTTAGTGTATGAGAAGTGATTAGCAAACTATCTTTCGAGTAACAAGGTCTCAAAAAGTGCATAGTTCAAAAAAGTATTCAACAAATGTTTGTGTAGTCATCATCTTTATTGTATAATTATGTCATAATAGTCAACCTTGTTGAAACAAGTATATTTTCTCTATCATCACAGGAATTATCTTTCATATAAACTTTTTTAGATTATAAAAAAGTTTTTCTATTTTACTGACCTCATGCTTATTATAACAGAACTCCACACACAGAAGTACTTACTTGGAAGTGGCCACTAGACTTTTGTTAACTCTTAGGTTAAAAACTACAGCCATACAAGTAATGAAAATTAAAATATATTGTAACAATGAAAATTACAGTAGATGATCGGTTAACGAACAGTTCAGATAGCAAACACCTCACAGAACAAACACAAGGAGGAGTGATGCAAAATAATGAATACCAATTGGTTTTCCCTTGTCTTCAGGTAACAATTCAAAACCTTTCGGAGCGCGGGAGATGTCAACATCGATACTGATCGGACAGTATTAGTATTCCTCCAAATTTTGAAACTCTCCCTTGTCATTCCAGCTTTTTGTTTACCTTTCTGACAAATAACTTTTTATAGTATTCGCGAGACTGTTGGACGGGCACTTGTTAACTTTGCATTGGGGTTTATTTACAAAAGGTGAAAATTTAACTGTCCCATCGGATATTCGTTAACTTTTTTAATACCAAATTTCAAATTTCATCTGGGCCTTGCATTTAAATAATTTTTTGTGGGCTAGTTGATTTCTGTTCTCTGAATTTTTGTAAGTGCTTTTCTGAACTTTTTATTTAAAAAAGAAACTGATAATATTATGGAGCCTAAAAAAAAAAGAAGTGTCAAGAACTGTGCTCACTATAGAAACCAAGTAAGAGATAATAGCCAAGGTAGAAAGTGGGCACAAGATGTCTGATGTTGCTAGGTGTATGGCTCGAACAGGTCTACAGTAGGCACAATCATAGCTATGAAAGATATATCAAGAAGTTTCAAGCTGCTAATGGAGTAATGAAAATCACATCTGAGAAATAAAGAGCATTTTAGAGCTCATAATGGAACCTGAAACTGATCTGACGACAGAACTCCAGGGATGTCAGAACAATGATCATCCAAGTGGCATCCAAACCAGAATAAGGTTAATGGGGTTGGGGATCTCTATAATTACAATACTATTAATTACTTCCGAAAAATCCTGAAGAAAAGAGAAAAGCAATTGACATTGGACGGATTCTTTAACCTCCAGAAACGGAAAAAACATGACTAATAAAAATGCAAGAATGCATATATATGTATTTTTACTATTACATATAAATAAACATAGTAAAAAAGTACATATTTTTAATTTTTTGGAGTCTCCGAAACGAATTAATCAAATTCCCATAAAAACCTATGGTAAATCAATAATCGGTTAACGAACAAAGTATTGGAATGGATTATGTTCATAAACCCACTGTAATTATTTTTTTAGTTTTAAAAGTTTTTTAAAACATCATAGGCTACTTGATATCATTATTAAAAATTACATCTTTTTGAGGTTGGATACTTTCATTTTCTTAATTTATATTTTTAAGTATATTACAGAACAGATACACATGAATACTTTTTTCACCTGAGCTGATTGGTAAATCTGGACATTTATCAATATCTCTTGGTAAAAGCCCAAATTTTATCAGGGATTTCAGACTTTTACCAGTCAATACTGGTAAATGTCTGGACTTACTAAACTGCATATAATTGCATATTTCAACAATCATTCATATCTTTGATTACGCAAATTTCGAAAATTTTGGGAAAATGTGGCATATATGTATTTAATATAAATGTCATATAACGAATTTAAAGTTAACGCCAACTTTAAAATGCGTCTTTAAAAAGCACATGGACTATGAGCTTCGTAGCAGTTATTCGATATTATCGTATAATCGATTATCGATAATTTTCTAATATCGAAGTCGGAAAGCGAATACTGACGAATATCGTTATTGACGTTCGATATTACTGATATCGAGAATTATCGAAAATTACGAAGTTTAATTAATCACGTGACCACGATATTTTACGCCTGAGCAGGTCGTAAAACCAGCGTAAAAGCGAGCTGAGCAGTGTTCATCTTTCGACGCGAATAAGGCCGTAAAACGGTATCATCCACCAATCAGAAGTCAGTGAAATCTAGGTCATTGTGACACGGTGCGAAAATGGAGAAAGAAGCTTTTGTGTACGTTCACTCGTGGCAACTCTAGAATTAGGAGCCCTGGGCTTCTATTGTCTGTTCATAGATAATTTCGCCCATCTATTGTTATGGATATCCTGGGAGGGCTGCCGCCACTTTTTAACAGGATATCCTTAATCATGCAAATGCAGTTGTCAGTTTTCTGGGATGCAAGTACCCAATCGTCAACACAATGCATATTGACGTTTGATGGCGGGGATACGGATATTAATGCTGACCTTCACTTCCTCAGGTGGAGAGTTGCTATCATTAGGGGTATAGGATAATAGGTCTGCCACTTCATTCTCTGCCCCTTTTACGTGCACCATTTTAATGTTGTAACTAGCTAATTCAACCGCCCATCTCATGAGCCGCCGGTTATGGTTGTTCATATCCTCGAGAAATATTAACGGTTTATGATCAGAGTATACTATGATTGGGCGGCCCAGGACTAAAAAACGAAAATGATGAAGGGCTAGTAATAGCATGAGACACTCTTTCTTCACACTGGAGTAATTAAGCTCAGCCCACATAGTTTTTTGCTAAAAAAAACCAGTGGGTGCAAGCCAATTACCACCCTCTTGATGTAGGGCAGCCCCCACAGCTAGCTCGGATGCATCCATGAAAAGATGGAACTCTGATGAAAAATCAGGGTGCCTTAAAGTCAGAGGTGTGGTCAAGGCCCTTTTCAACTTAACAAAACTGTCCTCACATTCCCTCGACCACCTGAAACGATGTCCCTTTTTAGTTAGTTTGGTTAGGGTTAATCTACCTGCATGACTTTGAGGTGCATGAGGATGTACTAGTCAAGAACAGTGTTAATCGTAAAGGTGAGCCGACTAGGTGCATTTATGTGGGTGACTCTGCCCAAATTCCCATTATAAATCATTACCATGAAGTGGGGGACACCTAGGTGCTGAGAAGATACTTAGGAAACTTAAGGACAAATATTTCTTTCCTGATATGAGGAAGAAAATTAAGGATTTCATAACTAGATGTGAGACTTGCCAAAAATTTAACCGTACCACACACAACGTGCCGGTTCAGGAAGTAATCCACCCTAGTGAGCCCATGCAGGTAATCACCGTGGATGTAATTGGACTGGCGCCCAAATCATGGAGGGGGAATCGATACATCATTGTATTCGTTGACATGTTCACGAGGTTCGTCGAGGCAATTCCGGTCCCAGAGGTATCGTCAAGAGCGATTGCTGACTCACTCTTTGAGAACATTGTATGCCGTTATGGCAGGGGTCAGACCCTCATCTCNACTATCTCACGTCACTAGTCGATTTTTTAAAGAAAACTTAATACCATTTTTTGTTATCTAATACTCTTTTTAGTACCCTTTTAGAAAGGCTTGGAACAACCCTGCTCTCGAGCTAAATGCCACAGTCAACATGTATAAAGCATTAGATTCAATAGGTGCAGTATTTAAAATTTAAAACATTAACATCGGTTTGTAAGTATTCTATTTATTCAGGCTTAAAAACTAATGGAATAAATGCAACACAATAAATATACAGATTATATTTTTATAACCTACATAATTGTTGTTATAATTTATAATATGCCTTAATCATACATAGAACTATTAATACTTTTAAGTAATTCTTCAGGTAATTTGCATTCACTCACACGTATGTCTCTGGAAAGTAAATAAAATCGAATGTGAAGGAGTGCACGTAAAAGTTGCAACCCCATTCTGTTCCTTGTGTCACTTTTTAAATAATTAACAGCAGAAAAAGCTCTTTCTACTGAAGCATTTGATATCGGTAGTGTAAGTATATTCAACGCTGCTTCAGCAAGTCGTGTTGCAGGATTATTACCTGCAGTATCCTTATATTCAATAACTGTTTTCCAAAAATGTTCTCCCGTTGTGTCTGGAGTAATTCCTGGAATGTTTTGGACACAGCGTATCATCTTCTCTAATTCCACGCTGTTAAAATCGCATATGGATTTCGGTATTTTGCAAATGTTTTTTTATGATTGATTGAATTTCGTAAATCTGTAAAAGTTTTGCAGGTCGCACACTTTCCACTAGATTTGACCACTGTATTGAATTTGATAGCCGAATTTGTAATTGACGAATTGTTGTTTTTAAAAAATTAAAGCATCTTTCCTTAATCTCAAATTTTGAATGAACTGAAAATGATGAAGTTTCGAGAAAACTGTGAAAATTTGTACCCAAGTCACAGTCAGGTATGAGCAAGTATACTGATTTTAAATTCATCAAATCCATGCACAAGAACTGTTCTAGAGAATGGTTATTTATGACTGAAGGTTTTATAATTCTTTTTGCAAATGATATAAACAGTGACTGTAATTCATTAATAGCTGCGAAAGTATCTATATTTTCACTTTGAAAAAGTAAGTTGACTCTCCGGAGTTCCGAAAGAATGGGATCCAGAAAAAGCAAATATGCTTTATTCCTAGCATCTCCGTACATTTCACTAAGAAGACGTATCTTGTAGTCCTTTGCAGGATAAACTGAAAAATATAACTTCAGGTCTTCATACTGATTAAGAATTCTTTCTACACAAAGAGAAATAGATAGCCATCGTGTCTTGCTTGGGGTTGTTAACTTTAATGGGTCAGCTGAAACTTCATCAGTAGTATCATTCATCACATGAAATAGATGTTTGTAGATATTCTTACGCAGTGTACTGTGAGAAAAATGTTCAGTTGTTTCCTGTAGCATGAAGCTGATATTACTTGGCAGCTCATCCTTCGCTGCAGATGCCACCAAATCCAAAGAGTGGCAGATGCATTTAACATGTATCAGATCATATCCACAAAAGTCTCTCAAATGTGTATAAAGAGAGTTGTTTCTTCCACACATAGAAGCAGCACCATCAGTTGCAATTCCAATCAATTTATTTTTGTCTAGACCCAGCTCTTGCATTTTATACACAACTGCATCGTGCATAGTTGTAGCACATCCATCTTGAATTTCAACCACGTCAAGGAAGCAAGTGATCATTTTTCCCGATTCTCTGCTGTAATGTTTGGAGCAGAGAGCAAGGAGCTTTGAATCGGATACGTCAGTTGACTCATCTATCATAAGAGAGAATTTTGTTGCTGTTTTCAAATCTTCTAGATGTTTCTGCTGTAGATAAGGTCCCAAAACATTTTTTATTAGAGCAGAACATTTCGTACGATGCATATGAAATGTTTCTTTGCCATTGCTTACATCTTTAAACTCATCATTCAGAATTTCTCCAAGAGTATCAACAGAGTTTATAGATGTGCTCATTGCAGCAAACAGAGCAATTCGAGCTTCTCTGTGAATTTTTGCTAATGGCAATATTCTAGGCACTTCAAGTACATTCAGAGGCTGAAACTTACCACACTGAACTTCATTAGACTTATGTTTCTTTGTAGCAACATGTTTCATTAAATCAGAATAATGTGCACGTACACTACACTTGCAATATTTACAGAAAACATGGTCCTCTGCTGTTGGATCTTCTGAAATCCAATCTGAAAAACAAATTTAATTTAATTGATAACAACGCGACCAATTTTTAAAAATAAATCATCTTTAAATGAAGCTAGTGAAATATAGTGGGACCTTCTTATGAGCCGTTCACAGGCGAAATCGATTAAGTTCACTTTTTGAATCTTTTAAATTTTAGTACTAAAGTACTTGAATGATGCTTAACATTTTATATTTGAAATAAACTTTTTTAATAATTAGGCTTAACATTACTAAATATTTATTTAAATTTAAATTCTAGAAAAGAAAGAAGGCCTATATTATTTTATCAATTTCTATACTTTTTGTTTTTTGGAGTTAATCAATTAGACAAATAAATAACCCATACTTTAATCACAACATAAAACNAAATAAATGGCTCATACTTCGAACATCTATATATCATTATATGCAAATATCAGTGGCGTAGCGAACATAACTGGCGCCCGGGGCACAACACTTTATTGGCGCCCCTCCCCTCTCCAGGAACACATATAGTTTGTCTTGGAGACCATTTGGGCGTCCCTCTGATACACCCCCTTGCGCCCCCCTCGCTACGCCACTGGTATATATATATGTAATTTCAGAGATGAGGAAACTTTCTTTGTTTTGTTTACTATATTTTTGTGGATATTGTTTCACATTTTAATTATCTGAGTTTTATTTGGGTACTTGTCTGTTAATGAGACCATGCCAGTCTACATAAACAGCTTCTTATATATATAATAAAATAGTGATTACTCTACAAGACATTTACAAGAAGCTGACATTGGCAAACAGTTACAATTAGGATAACGTTATTTGTAACTAATTTTATCGAAAACAATTAAAATTTATAAAAATTAGGCCCTACCTAGTAACCATGTTTGGTACCTTTCCATATAGCATAGCATTTGCCATTAATCAATTTTGTTTATAAATGCATTTTTTCTTATTTCTTTCTTTCTAGGATGTCATTTAACTGGAAATTTATATTAAATTTTCTTTAAAAATTGAGCTATTCTAAACTAAAAATTTTCTTGTCAAGCATGACAGAATACTTACTGGAGCTATTTTTTAACGTTAAATTTAATTAAGCAAATTTAAAATTACGCCATTTGCCAAAATATTTAAAAATGCAACTTAATATGGAAAATTTCCTCTGAAAGCAGAATACACTAAACGAGGTCACTGACGTCGAATCACTACAATGTAAGTGTAATCACCAATCGATAACGTATTTATGCTCTAGTTAATATTTTTGCGAAATAAATAGCCCATACTTTAATCACAACATAAAACGACTACAGCCAAAATTTTACATGTATAGGACAAAAATTGCAGAAGTTATAAGAAATTCACATACAGACAATGGTTTATATTAGCTTTTTGGGTACTCTTCCAGCAACAAAAACGGCACTTGGAAAACCCCTAAGAATTTTATTTATCATATTAAATAATTATTTCCACTCAAATGCGAAACTGACATCAAAAAAATTTTCGAGAAATAATTTCCTTAATACTCCCCAAAAAGTGTTTTTACAGAAAAACTACATAAAAAATTAAAAATAATTTAAAATGAATGCTTTTATTTGTTAAATATAGCTGCACCGATTGTTATTTTTTCATTTTATAAGGCGTGAAATTTCACACGTGCAGTCTGCATTGTAGTAGTTTACGGTGGAAAGCAACATGGCGTCCTCTGTAGCTCAAATAGTTTCGTTTAGTAATTATTATAATAATGTAATAAGCTTCTGTACATTGAAGTTTCTATATATCGAATTATTTTAAAATAAACCATCAACTGCGATATATGGAAGATCTATTAAAAGTGAAAAAAAAAAAAAAACTAACCTTNTCGTCGAGGCAATTCCGGTCCCGGAGGTATCGTCAAGAGCGATTGCTGACTCACTCTTTGAGAGCATTGTATGCCATTATGGGGGTGGTCAGATCCTCATCTCCGACCGTGGGACGAACTTAACATCAAATCTGATGAATGACGTATGCAAAATACTTAATATTGACCATAAAACTACAACTGCTTATCGACCCACATCAAACGGAACCTGTGAAAGGGCGAATAAGACGATCATAGAGATAATTGCGAAAATTTCTAATGGCAGTAACGCTGACTGGGATAAGTACATCCCGGCGGCTTTATTAGCTTATCGCACTTCTGTCCATGGTTCAACCGGGGAGACTCCAGCATTCTTGTTGTATGGTTTCGACCCCATTCTCCCAGGCGAAGCGCGAACGGGAAGTCAAAGTAGAAGGAGTGCTCTCGACTATCGTGAGATGTTAGTCGACAAACTACGGGTATGCCGAAAGGCAGCAGACATATTCAATAAGGACCAATTGGCCAAGAAGAGAGAGTATTGGAATAGAACCCGGAAGTTAAAGAAATTCAGGGTTGGGGATTTGGTGATGATCAAGAAACCCTCAAAAGCCATGCACAAAAAATTCTCCGCATGGTATACTGGCCCCTTCCGGGTAGAGAGCATTCTTAGTGATGTAGTGGTCAAGGTGAGGGGTCAGAAGCTAAAGGACGGACAAACAGTGCACATTGACCGCCTTAAACCCTTTTATGGGCAGCAAAATAAGACTGAAAGATCCAAGATGAAAACAAGCTTAAGCAATAGCGTAGTTGAACGGTGCACGCTCGGTAAGTAATCCTACCATTTTTTGTTTATAGCATAATTTATATGGATTATATGTATTTTGGAATAAAATTTTCGATTAATTTTATGGAAGAAACCTTTCAAACAGCCGTAATCCGTAAACTGCATACGTGCCGGGCTGTGATTGGCTGGATTCGTAGAAATTGGATTCATAAAAACCGGAACATATCTACTGTGTTATGGGGGGGGGTCGACTGTACTTCAGTAGTTGGCATAAATCTTAGCTCATCTTTATTTCTAGTCCATAGTATCAAGAAATTGGAAACAGTTGAATTATTCTGACAGAAACACTGCTGTCCAAGATTTTCTATCCTGAGTCCAGCTCAGACTTATAAAAAGCCAAGAAAAAATTAAAATCTGTACTTGAAAAAAACCAGGATTTTTATGATTACTTAAAGATAGATGCCATTCTATAAGGAAACAAATTGCAGGTTCCTCTTGCAGTAGAGATTGACTCAAAACTTTGGTATCTTCAAATAGGCACCTGCAACATCAAGACCTTTCTCTTGGTTCAAAACACATTCTGGATGGAAATTGGCATATTAGCTACTTCTGAACTTTGGTTTTTTGCCATTTCAGTAAAGCATAGTTTTTGAATGTTTATATAAACACAGATGATTAGGAATTGAATGATCATCATTAATTTCCAATTGACTTTTAAGCTATTATTGTCATCATCATCATAGTAACATATGATGATCCCACAAAATCCTTATATTTATGAAGGTAAATGATGCCAGTATTTATAAGGTATTGATGTTTGACATGCTATAAATTTAAGGAATCACAGAGGAACTATGGCTTGCAGAAAATTTGAGTGTGTCTGTATGTATGGTGGACAATTGTTATTCTCTGTGTTATTATATATACATTTTGAGATAACAAATACTAGTACTACATACAGTACAATAAATGGAACTTTATTAATATTTTTCAGCATATTTACAATAAATATTCAAAGCGGTGATTGACAACTGTTAGAGCACAACAATGAGCCATTTGTTGTACTCTCTAAGACTTTGTTTTGTTGTACTCTCTAAGACTGCTTGTTATCCTTTGAAAGTATTAAAAGCTGAAATAACACAGATGGAGAATTCTTCCTTTGTTTCCACTGGAATTTCATACATCATTTACATATTCCCAGAGGATAAGTTGGGAAGTGCCATATTCTCTTACATGTACATTTTTTAATCATCACTAATACAAAGTCTCTCAACTGGAAAAAGTATCTCACACTCTGAAAGACGATGCACTTCAGGTTGATAATCCACTGTTCTAGAGTAACCACACTTACTATATTATTCTACAGAAGCAAAGTACAGTATTATGTTTTGTATCTTTCCCCCATATTCTAAAAATTGTCATAATTTCTTTCTGTTTAACCTGGAAAGTACAGATACTGATAAACAATTTTTCATGAGAATACTTTCTAAGCTATGTTTTCAGTTTCTCATGAGGATGGCTCAAGCCTGGAGAATCATCCTCATTCCTACATGCTTGTTCTAGGTTGCTGCATAAAAAAATGTTCATCTCATCAACTTCCCTATTTTAATCATTACCACACCCTATATTTATGGCATGTCAAACTTTAATATCCTGTAAAATCATCAGTGAACATACTATATTTTGATTTTATGGAAACAGTATTCTTTCTGACAAATAGCAGACACAATTCAAAAGCATGGAGTAACGTTTCTCCTATACAATTCATATTAATTTCACTCAGTGCTATTTTGATGCATAATCCAAAGAATGTAATAAAACAAATCTGTTATAAAATGAAATGGAAAATGCAGGACTCTCTAAGGCTTAAATTTTTACAAAGGATCACTTTTTAGAGATTGAGGTCCTATGGCATAAAGGAAAGATATGTTAACAGAAAATGGAGTTCAAATATAAAGACAAATTGGAGACTATATCAGAAATGTACAAAAGTAGATGTGCCTAAATGTAGTGACTGATGAACAAAGTCTAGAAATTGGAACATAGTATCTCATGCTAAACTATATAATGAAGCTATAGTCAAGCTTAAAATGTAGTTTAATACATACAAAATATTAAATGATATAATTTTCAGCATATTCAATGCCCTTGTGCACTTTTCCAGATGAAGAAAAAATATAAACTTCATTAAATATACCCATAAATTTACTTCACTGGGAAGTGGAAGAAGAATATTTCCATATGTATCATAGATAATTCTGATCAATGTGCAAACTACAACAATAACAGAAAATGTTTGATTAGCATTTTCTGTATGGAGATGATAAACTTTTTTCCCTGCTTATGGATTTTTATTTAATTCTATCTGTAATTTCATTCAATCATTTGCTATTGAAATCTAAAAGTCACCCTTATAAAGACA